TTAGGTTGGATGCCTATGAGTCTTCTAGAATCTATAAGGAGAAAACAAGGATCCTTCATGACAAGCTAATCTTGAGGAAAAAGTTCCAAGAAGGAGATCAAGTCCTCTTGTTCCAAACAAGGTTTATTCATAAGCATGCCAAGTTGAAGTCTAAGTGGGAGGGACCATATCTAGTGACCAAGGTGTTTCCCTATGGGGTTTTGCAACTCTTGAATAAAGCCACGGGTTCCACTATGCAAATCAATGGTCACCTATGCAAGCTCTACAAAGATGCCAAATCACTTCAAAAGGAGGAGGACTTCTCTCAACATGTTTTTGAACCACCATGATAAGGTTGTATCTCTCTAACCTTGAGCTTTTACCTTCCTTTAATTGATATATTTAATGATAGGTATAGTTCAAGTGTGGGGGAGATGAACCTAGTAGGAAAATTAGAGTTTATTTGCTTTATTTGACTTCTTTGTTTTGTGTTTTAGTTTGAAAAAAAAAATATCTGCACCACACTTTTGTTATGCATTCATTATTGATCTCACCTTATTTTATCACTAGTCTATACATACATTGAGGACAATGCATGATTTAAGTGTGGGGGAGAGAAATAAACATTTTGTTTTGTTTGTTTGGTTTTGTTTGGTTTTGCAAAAAAAAATTCAAAAAAAAATTCTTTGTTTTGTTTTGTTTGAGGTTACTTAATTACCTAGCTCTTGAATGGATATTTTGATTCTTGAGATGTGGTAATTTTTAGGATTGAATAGGTGTGAAGTGAACATTCTTTTACCTTGAATTAATGGATTAGAGTGGCATATTACCCTTCATGGAAGAGGCTAAACACTCATGTGTGATTAATTCCTTAGTGATGTTACCCTCTAGAATTTGTTTCACTTCTTAATTAAGACCATATATCTTGCACTTGTTTGATAGGAGATGAGAGATGGCATTCATAAAAAATAGCCAAGAGCCAAATAGCCAACCTATTATTATTTATTATCCTTTGTTAGCCACTTTGAGCCTTTGGTTTGATTCTTAAAAAAAAATATTCACCCTATTTTTCCCCAAGGAATGCATGTTACACTTTTATATGTCTTTTTAATATTCATTGCATGTCCTAGATCAAATGAGTGGATGCCTTATTATCATTTCTCTATCCATTACTTCCATTGTTTTCAAAGAGTTAGGGGCAACAAAAAAAAACAACAAAGATAGATTTGAAAAAAAAAAATATAGTCAAAAAGAAAAGAAATAAAGTTGCTAGAAAAAGAAAAAAAAAAAGAAAAAAAAAGAAAAGAAAGAAAAAAATAAAAATAAAAATAAAAAGTTGCCTAGCTCATCCATTCCATTTGTTTTATTATTTCTTATCATTTCTTTCCATCCTCATTGTGTTAAGGTGTTCACTCAATTGAGTTAGGTTATGCTTTGCATATTAAGGGGATATATCTTGATTTAGCATTATTTTGATGCTAACCCTATTTTTTTTATATATACATGCATTTCTTAGACATCCTTTCATTACCTATATCACAACCTAATAAAGTCCATTTGATTCTTGATTGCAAGTGCTATTTAGTGATGGAGATGTAGAAGGGTTACAAATTCATAGTAGGGTTTATCCTAAGAAATTTTGAGTGAAATTTAATACCTTATACACTTTGAGTGATGAGAGCAAACACTTAACCTAGAGAGGCTTACTCTTTGACATTGATTCTTGGTAAGGGTTTGTTTGTGATGTGCATAATTCTTTCGTAATTATTGCCACATTGATTGATAATTTGTAGAAGTTCATGAGCTAGTATTTTAGTGACTTGAAACAATGTTTTTCTCTTATTTCTTTGTCTTATAGTTTCTTTTGGGACCTTTTTCACTTGATTTTGCCCGGAGTGCAAAAGCTAAGTGTGGGGGAATTGATAGAACACATTTGTTACCCACTTTTATTTGTCAATTAGGACCATTTTATTAATGATTTATCACCTTCAAGTGCACACATTGCATTAGATTTGGAACTTTGCCTAAGTTTCTAAGATCAGTGCACTAGGGGCATTTTGGTCCAAAAAATGAACTTTTGAGAAAATGTACAAGAAAAATTGACAAAGTGCATTTTATGTCCAGTTGATGAATGGTGAAATTATATTTTTAAAATTCATTTTAGTTTGGGAGTAATTAAATAAAAAAGTCAACACTTTCTTAAGTGTCTTAGTTTGTCCTAGTTTTTGTTTGCCTTTGTGTGAAAATTTTTATATAATTTTGTGCAGCCTGAAACTTGGTTAATTTAATAAATTCTCCCTTCTAATTATGAATTTAATTCTGGACATGAATTAGATTTTATTATATCATATGCTATTTAATTGAATTATGTGATTTATGTGACATAGGTGGCATGTGACTTGTGCATCAATTGGGCAATTGAGGTCAACACTCCTTGAGGTCAATGGCTGATGGTTTGCACGTGAATTATGATTATTTTGAGGGATTAAATCAGCTAAAATGATGTGGATGACACATGGAAATTAGGCACACATTGGAATCATCTACAAACCAATAGGAAGTTGCCACCTTGCAAGTGTGACAAGGCTCCCATTTACATTTTAATTTCTTTTTCCTTATTTTAATTAAGCTTCAGCTGATGGGAGACACCAAGGAGCACGCCATTTTAAGCCCAAATGGGATCCAACACATATCTCATTCATCTTCCACATTCTCTCTCTCTTGTTCATAGTGTTCTTCATTTCTCTCTTTTGTTCTTCATTTTCCAGCACCCTAACCTCCATTTTCAGCCACCAAACCTCCACAAAACTCATACCATTCTTCTCCTCTCTTCATTTTCGTTCCATCCCTTCCATTTTCACAAGGATTGAAGCTCATTTCCATCATTCAAGAGCTATGGAGTTTGGCCTTCACAAGCAATCACTAGGGTTCTTGAAGATGAAGATTGGCTAAGTTTCTTTATGGAATCCTAGAGAGATGAAGATGGAGGATGAGTCTTGAGCTTCAAATTGGCTAAGTTCTTTTGTTTCCTATCCTCTTCTCTTTTTACTAGATGGTTAGATTTCTTAATATAGGGTTTAATCATCTTAGCTTATAAATTCTAATTTGAATTTGATGTTGATGTAAAGAGAGAGGATTGTTTCATTTTATTTCTCCCTTGGACAGCCATGACTGAATTTTGCCACTCTTTGTTTGGCACATAATCTTGTGTTTTTCAATTAGTGAATTTCTTGTGTTAATATTGCATAATCTTGTGGTGTTAATGCTTGTGTTGTTGAGTAGCTTGACATAATCTTGTGGTTGCTCAATTTATGTGTTTGACCATGGCTGTTGAGAGAGGATTTTGAGTGAATCACTTGGCTAATGTCTTCACCAATTGGTTAATTGAACTAGGGACTTTAATCTAAGACCTAGGGAGGTTAGCTAATTAGGTTAATTGGCTTAGGATAATTTTCTTAAGTCATGACAGCTTTAGTCAAGAGGAAAGGGAAGCTAAACTTAGCTTAATCATGAGAAGATAATGAGTCCAAAATCAACTAATCTCTAGGGTTCCATTATTGTGAAAAGGAAGTTCATTTCACTCACTTTCACTAGCATTTTAATTACTTGCATATTAGGTAATTAGCTAGGTAACTAAATTCCTACAAACTTTGGTTGATTTATTTCACTAGATAACTTTCAATTAGACTTAAAACCATTCCTTGGGAGATGACCTAGGGTTGGCCCTATATTGCATTAGGGTTAGCTTTAGTGTAATTTTGAGGATAAGCGACTAATTTCCTATCATCGTCTTCCTTTATTTCAGCTCGGCTGGTTGCTTAATCACTGATCGAGTTCTTTATATCAGCTCCAGGGGTGCGCAGTCACTGGTGAGAGGTCCTCTATTGTTACTCCCCATTTTCAGTTCGGTGTGCTCTATGGTCGGTGCCCCCTCTTCTCTTCTTCTAGGTTTGGTGCCTCTCTCTCTCTCTCTCCTTCCATTCCTCAGTATGTTCTTCGGTGGGGGCGAGACTGATTTTGTGTTTGTTGTTGATTGTGCATTTTTTTCCTAGTGTCATTCCAGTAAGGTATTTGCAAAAGAGAAGAAACTATAGTAATATTGATTTGTGATCCCAAAATGGTTCCATATTTGTTTATATTTATGTGATATTTGAACCTGATTTTTTGCTCTATTCTATGATTTTGCCATGAATTTGAGAAGAAAGAGTGAGAAGCCTTTTGTTCGTCTGGTATTTTTATGCTGTAAGATGAATTTATTTTGTTCTGTTCTTTTGCTAGCCGAGCACATATACTGGCAATGAACTGGAAATTTATAACATTTGGTTATGTGTCTTTTAAGAAGCAATGAAAATCGACACAAAGCTGGCTCTTTTAAAACATAGGGCCGTTACAAAAGGGAGAAAGGCACTGCTTAACAAGGACTTTGGACTCTTCCTTAATTCCTTTCATGTGTTGTACTGAAACTTAGGTTCTACATTGGCATGTTTGCTGTTTGGTCTCTGGATTTGGAAAAGCTTTCCTTTTCATAATGGAAGAAAAATATAAATATAGATTGTAGCAGAAAGGTCGATAAGACATTATAGACTAATAAAATAGTTAAAAATAAGGGAGAATGACAAATAAAGACCTTGTAATAACATTAATGCCAAATTAAGAATTTTAGTATTGAAACATGGTTGAAGGAGTACTGAAATTTAGAAATATCAATGTTGAAAAGTCTTAATTTGACATTAAAGCTCTTATAATGTCCTCATTTGTCATTCTCCTTAAAATAAAGGTTTGGCAAGGTTCTTCCGACTTGAAAATTTGCTTATGTAAAAGACGAATGCAATCTTGACCAAAAAATTAGTAAAGTTAGAGAGGTTGTGACTATGACTTTCCCTGATCCTCGCATGTTCTAGGGAGAAAATTCAGATTTCATGTTTAGTAAATCTAATAGTATTATTTTGTGCATTCATTGGTGACATTAGATACATTCAATAGTAGTTTGTTTTTTACCCTAATTGTTAATGTGCAGGATAATGGCTAAAACAAAAGGAAATCCTTTAAGGAAAAAAAGTTGTTCTGGTTTAAGCAAGTTTAAAGAGGCATATCGTGGCAAGTATACAACCCAGGGAAATGATTTGAAAAAACTCAACGCAGAAGCAATTACAGCATGGAAAAAGTTGACATCAGAAGAACAAGATCACTATAAGCGTCTAGCTAAGGAGGAAAACGCTGGTATAAAAGCTTACGAGGTACGTTGTTTTTGACCTCAAGCATGAAAAATGTGATGAATTCAAGTAATGGTGCTGACTTGTTTTACTTAGACAGATTCCATTTGAGACAAGGTGTTCTCCGACAAAGATAAAGGAAGTTTTTGATTATATCAAAAAATGAAAATTTTTGAGGGATAGGGTTAATAGAATAGGATTTGGTAAGCTTTTAAATATTAAATGTCACAAGTTGCCTAGAGATTTATGCGACGAAGTGATGAAGGCATGTGATCCTCCTACATCATCCCTTTTCATTAGAGGTCAAAGGAAAGTCATCAATGGAAAGCAGTTCATGCCTTACTTGGCTTGCCTAATGATGGGGAGATAGTTGTTATGAATAGGGATAAGAATAAATTAAAGTTGTTAAATAAGGAGTTTAAAAAAGTATCCTATAATGTAATTAAGGACAGGATACTCTTGGGGAAAGAAAATGATAAATTTGAGTTTCTCTTCATTCTTTATTGCTTAGGGAATTTTCTTTGTCCAAGTTTGAGTTCTAAAATAAGTGATAAACTATTGAAAGTCATGTCCGGATTAAATTTGGGAACTGTACATTATGATTGGTCATCTTTTATACTATCTGAGCTTGGAAAGGAGGTAGCCGAATATAAAGCATGGGAGAAGAAGGATGGGCACAAAAAACTGTTGGAGGATGCTTATTTCTTCTTGTGGTATGTGGGTAAATTAAGATATAATTTGTTATAAGTTAATTATTTTGTAAAATTCTGTGGGTTATATGATATAGATGTAAATATGTAGATTTTCTACTTTCAAATGTTTCTATTGGAGCCAATTGAGGTGTCATCGCAAGAAGATGCTCTGGAACATTAGACAAAGGAGAGAGTGACAGCATGAGTTCAACTTGAGAAGGCAAGTGATCATGGCATTTTGTATCACCCTTCTCAAGGACATGACAGCTTCTCAGTAGAGCTTCCAGAAATGACTTCATTTTATGATCTAGTAAGGGCAAAATGATGGTTGTTAATTAGCAAAGTTATTTTTTATATAATTTTAAACATATGACATTTTATATGGTGCAGGACATAAAAGTGGTATACAGAGATATTGTGACCTTTACACATGAAATTGCACAATGACTCCTCAAACTCCAAGATAAAAGAAGAGGAGAGGAAGTTGTTGAACAGCATGATGGTGAAGAGGAAGAGGAGGAAGAGTTGGAACATGATGACAAAGAAGAGACAGGAGATGAAAATGAAGAGGAGGGAGAATTTGGAGAAGATGAGAAGGAGGAAGAGGAAGGACAAGTAGAAGGAGATGAAAATGAAGAGGAAGGGGGATCCAGAGAAGATGAAAAAGAAGAAAAGGAAGGACAAGTAGAAGGAGATAAAAATAAAAAGAAGGGAGAATCAGGTACACAAGAAGAAGTAGAAAAGCCAATTAGAAAAAAAGACTCTAAGGGTGAAAGGACACTAAGACGGTCACAATGACAAATAGTCAGCACTATTCATTCACCCTTTTTGGATGATAGAGGGAAGGCAAAAAGAGAACATGAAGAAAGAGGACAATGTTCAGAGAAAGAAGTTTACTAATACTGTACAAAGTCTATTCCACCTAATGAGGGACATGAGTATGATATTCAAACTTACTAGTTCATGTGTTCATAATCGATTGGTTAATATAATTTTGTTTTTTGTAACAAAAAAATTATGGAGATTGAGCAGTATTATGTGATAAGATATGAATGCAAGTATCTAGGTCCTAGACGATGGATCAGTAGTTCGGTGAGCAAGTGTGCTAGTTAAAATAGATCAAGTTATAGTAAAATTTTAATGTAACTATAATTTTGTTATGTAGGTTGTTACATTAATTGGAAGACTTTTGGTCAATGAGCAAAAAGAAAAGGATCAACTTGTGCGGTGACACATTTTTGATCCAGATTTTGCGGTTTGTCTTACAATTTAATTCCTTTGTTTTATTAGGTGCTTACAAGTTACAAGTGTTACATTTTTTCATTTCAAGGAACCATAATCCACCAACAAAAAAGATGGGACTTGGATAGCCATTTGAAGGACTTTATGCCAATTACCATTGGGAATAACATAGGAGATTGCGATTTTATTTTTTTCCCTATAGTGTTTGTATTGCACTAGTTTTGCTATGTTGTGGAGCCGAAAACAGCCATAATGTATGTGCTGGACTCGATGCTACCATCTAGTAAAGAATCAAAGAAGAAAAAGAAGAATATAAAGAGAGCGAAGGAAGCGATGTTGCCGAAAGAGAAGGAAAAAATGGCATATTTTATGGCATGCTTTTTCCCATATAATGATATATAAAATTTTGTTAGTGAAAGTTTCTCATTCACTTTGTTCTTATTCTCAGAAAAGCAGGTTTGTAGAAATATTAATAAAACTGAAACCTGAACTTGTTGATGACAATTATGACCTTGAGTTGAAAGTAGTGCCTATGGAACAACAACCGACGACGTGAGTAAAAAAGCTAAAATTGTGTACATGTAATTAAGTGTATATTTCCCAACTACGTGCTGACAGATTTCATATTTTTTAGATCTAATTGTGGAATGTATGTCATCTTTTGCCTTAGACAGTGGAATAATACTGCACGAGAGGAATGGGACAGCCTTACTATGCCTCCTCTAACAATGGTAGGAACAAATGTTAAAGTTTAGATATAATTTGTTATGTGTGACAATTTTCTATCTTATAAGTTGACTTTATCTGATTGTGTAGGAACAATTGAGTGAAATGAGGGGTGAGGTATTGTATTGGTTGGTGACTCATCCACACAACAGAGTGGGCTCTCAAGTCATGATGTCCATTTCAAATGCTGGGCATGCACGATCCAAAAGATTGAAATTATAGTGTAGACATTTTTGATATGTAAATTAAACCTTTATGTAATTAAGTTTTTTTCCGTGGCTTCTTGTATATGATACAACAATTAATTTAAAAAAAACTTTGACTACATGTTCAAGAAATTTGACAAACCGTTATTGATTTTCATTGACTCACGTTACTTTTAAAACTGACATTCGGTTTTTCACAATATATGTTACGGAATTTCTAAGTGAGGTTAGTGGAACACAAATTTTTCCTAGCAGCTTATCCTTACATAATGAATTCCTAATTCACGTTAGGCTCTTTCAAAACATAGGTTCAGCTTTTTTCCAAGTTAGGTTAGGACAGTTGTAAAAGACTTTGCTAGAACCCAACTTGTGCCACGTTAGTTTTCATCAAATAATAAATTTTCAAGTCCCATTAGGAACTTTGACAACATATGTTAGTTACTTTTCCAACTTAAGTTACCAAATTCTCATGTAAGGTTGCTGGAACAAAACTTGTGCCAAATGGCTTATCCTTACATGGTCAATTCCCAAGTCACATTAGGCTCTTTCAAAACATGCGTTCACCTTTTTCCCAAGTTAGGTTAGGCCATTCCCAAGTGACTTTGTTAGAACCCAACTTGTGGCAATACTTATCCTTTAACAATGAATTCTTAAGTCACTTTAGGCATGTTCACAACATACGTTAGTTATGTTTGCAAAGCAGGTTAGGGAATTTCCAACTGAGGTTTTTGGAACCCAATCTGTGGCAAGACTTACAAAAAAAGAGAGTTCCTAAGTCATGTTAGGACATTTCACATTATACGTTAGCTACTTTTCTAACCCAGGTTAGGGAATTCTCAGGTAAGGTTACCGGATCTCGATTTCTGACAGGTATCTTCTGATAAACAATCACACCCAAGTGGGGTTATTCATTGCACAACTTATGGTAGGAGTTTTTCTTACTTTGGATATGAAATTGCCAACCAACGTTATTGGTTCCCATTATCTAACAAGTCTCTTAAATGTTTGAAATACTCTAGAAAATTTTAATTCCAAGTAAGGTTCTCTGTTTTTAGTAGTTACATTAGCAATATCCCTACACTACGTTAGTGAATTCAACAGTCTTATGCCATGACAACATTTTTACTCAAACAAATTTAGACCTGAAATTTTCATCAGCTTTATATTACACTAGTTGTAATACATGTACACCAAATTTGCATCCCTTTTTACTCAAAAAATATCCCAGCTACCTAAATGGTACCTATGCAGTCCTTATAAAAAAAACATAGACTGCAATCCCATTTACATAACCTATCACCTCTACAAGTACAAAAGACATATGATGTGGCTGTTTGTACAAAAGGTCATTCAACAGCAAAATGCATAAAATAAATAAAAACCATATGCATTTCAATTTTAAACTAACTAATATGCATATGGTTTTTACCCCCTTTCAATCCCTACATTGGATTGGGATTCCTACATCTATTCTTGGTATGTCCAGCTTGATTACATCTTGAGCAATGATACTCTCTTCGCTTGGTAGGTGGTCACCCTGGGGGACGTGTAGTCAGTGATGGTTCCAAAAAGGTATTCTTTTCATAATCTTCATAATATAGCTTGGTCAACTGAGGCATGTCAATGGTTTCCACCGGAATCATTGTGGAGCTGTAAATTTTTTCTTCTGCACGAATAGTGTAGCATTCTTCAACATATGAATACATATTACCCTGAACTAATTTTATTGCTACATATGCATGTGCACAAGAAATTCCTACCATTTGCCATTCTTGACAAGAGCATTCTTGCAATGTTAGATTCACTCTCAAGTTATTGTTTCCTATCTTCACTAGTATCATATTCACACTATAATGTTCAGCCACCATAACTTCAGCTCTCAATACATTCTCCCTCAATTTTATCTCAACACGTGGTCCAACTCTGTTTGACCAATTCGCCATTTCTATCTTGCTATTGTATAGCTTCCTCGCTCATTTTGCTCGGTGCTCATTTATCAACGCACACATATGATGTTTTCTCTCTTTCATTAACCAAGCATTGAAAGATTCAGCATGGTTTGATGTTATATTGTCCCATCTTTTGTATGAAAATCTTGCTAACACCCAACAATCTATATCCCTATTTGTTTCTAACCATCTTGCCAACTGTGGGGAGAAAACCATCAAATGACCCATAGCAACATGAAATTTTGTTTCCAACCTTGCATATGTAATATTATCTAACAACTTAAGTGCATCTTACTTGGTCATCCCATCAATCCTTCGCATGCCTCTATTAATTTTTGCAAATTCTAAGCTGTAATTTTCTTTGACATGATGATAACAAAAAAGCATGTTGATTGCCATCAAATATTACACGCACTGCACCAACAATAGCATTATGCCTGTCTAACACTATGGTCAATTAAACTTGGTGTGTGATCTCTCTCACATTTTCAAGAAACCAAGCCCAATTATCATATGTTTCTCCACCCACTATTGCATAAGCCAAAGGAAATAAGTCATTATTTGCATTAATTGCAGAAGCTGCTAGCAAAGTCCCCTTATATGGACCGCTTAAATGACTTCCATCGATAAACAAAATTGGATGAGCACCTTCGAGAAACCCTTTGATATAGCATCCATATGCAATAAAAAGTCTATCAAATCTATAATTTGTCGAGGCAACCCACTTTACAATTGTGTCTGGGTTTGTCTCCTTAAACTTCTCACAAAGCTATGGAATCAACATGTATGACTGTTGTGAAAGCCCATGTATTTCCTCCAATGCTCTATCTTTTCCTTTCAAAGCTTGCCGATATGTGAGATTTAACCCATACTCTTTGTAGAGGTCTTGTCTAATCTCATTTGAAGTTTTCTCCACATTCCCCCTCACAGCATCAATGATAATTGATGATGTCAATCTTAAATTACCTTTTACTTTAATAGGAGATTGTCTTGAGTAGAGTGCATGTGTTCATTGTGAAATTTTTTCACACACAATATAGAGGTTTTCTTCCCAAGAGCATAAGCTGATATCTTCCATTTACAACTATTAATATTGCATTTGACAATCATCTTCTTAGGGCTGTTTCTCATAAATATGTAACCAAACCTATGAGCAAGGCTGTATTTATATAATGCTTTTCTGAATACAATTGCATCATCAAATGTCTAGCCAACAGCCATAAATAAATCCTTCATTTTATGAAATTAACCTCAAGCAATGGTGCAAGAGCATTTTGTGTTGAACATGGCAAAGAGGGTGATATACTTTCAAGCTCTTGCCTATAGGGAGATCTTGGCAGTGACCATGTTAACAAATTTTCCATCCTACATTTACAATCACTTACAGGTCAATATAAATGGTCATTAAACTAATTAAACACACAAATAACTAAGAATAATAACTTACTCCATCGATTTATCCATTGCTCCATTTATTTCATTATCATTTGTCTCAACATACACATGTCCTGACTCATCATTATACTTTATCAAATGTTGTACTCCCTCATCGTCTAACAAATCTATGTATGTGTTTTCACTAAACTTTAATGTAAATTTCAAGTCAGCTGCACTACTTTCAACTCCTGTCACTGATGACACCATCCTCAATAGCTCTTCATGATTTATGCCTTCTCTAATCAATTTAGAAATTAATCTCCACCTTCATAGGTCATCTTCCCTTGTAAATCTTTTACAAAATATCCATCAACATGAAGATAACAAAATACTTCTTTTGCTGAAGTACTTGCCATATGGGAAATAAACTTGGAACAACTACAAGTAACATACAAATTTAGTACTTCACAAATGTCCATTCCATAATCCCAACCTTGACTACATAAATTCAGCATCCATGTTACATTTTTCAACATTCACGCACTTTTCAACACAAATCACAAAAATTCAGCATCCATGTTACATTTTCCTTGTTTTTCACTCCTCAACTTTTTCAACTGTGTTGTTCTCGAAAATCATTTCTTTCGCGTGTCTATATATAAAGTCTAGTAATCATTAAGAAGACTACTTTTTTTCCTAGATATAAAACAAAGAGAAATGGTGCAAGACAGCATTTACAAAGATTAAAACATTCTTTCTGTGCGTGCATGACAGAGGACATGTGTAAAAAAAGAAAGCAGAGCAATGGAAGAGAAATGGAAGAAGAAGTGCAGACTTCTCTTCCATGCATGGCAGAGGACTAAATGTAAAAGAAGCAATGCATATAATTACCAATTAGAAGATGATTATGGTCCACTAATTTTTCCCCAACTTTTTTAGTGCACGAAAGCACACTCCATCAGTATTTTTCCCGTCGAAAAATAAGAAAACAGAGCACATAAGATGAGCTTCTTTCCTGTTACCTTTCAATGTTTAGTGAGGGGGCAATTTTGTAAACTCAAGTTTGTTTTTTATCCCACTTAAAGACCATGGTCTTTAATCGAGATTTCTATTTTTCAAAATCCCTAACTGGAATTAATGTCCTTAGGGGGTCCTCAATCATCATTATCCCAAAATTAATCATTTAGTTATTGTATTTTTGACTCAGTTCTTGAATTTTAACTTGTTATAATTTAATCTTTAAAGTTTTAACTCGGTTGTAATTCAATTTTTAAATTTTACTTCTTGCAATTTAGTTTCTGTAATTTTTAAATCACTTAAATATTGATCCTTATATTTTAAAAAATAAAATTATAAAGATTAAAAATATGTTAAAATTTATTACTAATATTTTAAATTACTAAACACTTTTAATCTTTATAAATATTATAAATATTAAAAGTTTAAAATATTTTTAATCTTGATAATTTTATTTTTTAAAATATGGGAATCAATATTTAACTAGTTGAAATTATAGGGACTAAATTGTAACAGAAAATATTTAGGAACTAAGTTACAACCAAGTTAAAATTATAAAGATTGAATTACAATAAGTTAAAATTCAAAAACTAATTTATAACTGAGTCAAAACTATAGGAGCCAACCAAATGATTTATTTTCCTTTAATTTTTAATTTTTTTGTTTTTATAACAGAACATGATATCAAAAGAAAATTTGTTAAAAATAATTATCCATTTATGAGTTATCATTATACATATTATCTGGAAAGAGAGAAAAAATAAGTAAGGAAATAATGTATATCCTATCTTAAAGATTTTATAAGATTATACTTTTAAAATAAGATCCTAACAATAGTGGTTAATAAGGTTGTTAAACTAACGAGTTTAAGTAAACTCATGATAGGGATATAAACTCAAAATGTAGACTTGGATCATAAATTCATATGATTTTGTCCCTATTAATAAATAGTCTTTAAAAGTAAATGCTTAAATAATTAAAATATAAAACATGATTATAATTGAATTTAAATATATTTAAAATATAAATCATTAAAATTAAATCTATCTTCATTTATAGATTATTATACTCAATATAGAAATTTAAAAATATGACAACTTATTTTTGGTTTTTTCCATTTTTAATATTATTTTTTGTTTTTTTGAGTTTTATTTTTCATTGAACCAAATTCTATTGCTTCTATGAATCAAGTTCTACACAATATATACCTTAACAAGTTTATAAGCAGATTGACATGATTTTATAAGTTAGAAATATAAAAATGATAAACTTGAAGAATCAATTCATTAGTTTAATCGAGTTTTATCTAATTTAAATTTATAAGTGAGTTAACATGATTTTATAAATTAAAAACACAAAACGATAAACTCAAAGTTAACTTGAGAGTTTGAAAACAATGGTGGTTAATGTAACAAAAATGATGATGATTATTTTATTTTATAATTTCTTTAAGATTTAAGAAGATGCCATATTTTTCTTATTTTTCTCTCTTCGATTTTTATTTTTAAATTTCCTTTTGAAAAATGAAAGTTTTAAATGAAATTAAATGAACTAATTTTTTTAATCCGTTTCTCTTCATTTCTTTTTATTATTTTATATATTTTTTAATTTAAAGCAAGATATATAGATACCATATAATATTGAGGCATTGATGACCTTCCTAGTAACTACAGACTTGCACCCACACAACATGCAGTTATGAGTTTGAATCGGCCTCTCTTTTAATTTTAGCTTTAAATTACTATAAAAAAATTAATTTTTGACGGTAACTTTTAGTAGCGATAAATCAATATCACCACCAAAAATATACTTTTGTCAAAAGTATAGTTTTCATGATGACTTTTAATAGTTGCCGCCAAAAGTCACTACAATAAAAATAACTTTTTACAATGGTTAAAAATGACTTTTTACAACGGTTAAATAAGCGATGTTATTACAGGGAATATAGAAAGTTTAACTTTCTACATCGGTTATACGACCACTGTAAAAAATACATATTCTACATCAGCTAACCATAACTGCTGTAGAAAATAAATCAACGATTAAAAAATTAAAATCGGAGCACTTTCTACAGCGGTTGTGTTCCAACCGCTGTAGAAAGTTTGCTATTTTATACCGATTTTTATATTAACTGATGTATAATAGTAATTTTTACATCATTTATAGTAATAATCACTGTAAAAAGCGTATTTTGTTTTTAAAATAAACATCCATATTTTTAAATTTATCGTACTCTGTACACAAAAATTACCATAGCCGAATCAAACAACACAATTTATTTACAATTTTTAATATAAAATTAAATTAACAACTATCCAAAACTTAAAGTTATCTGTAAACTATCTAAAAACTATATATTGAGCTATCCAAAACATTGTGTCAACAAATATTTTCAAAAGTTATCTACAACTAACAAATTTCTTAAATTGTATGAAACTTTCTACAAAACTCACAAATTCTCCCCAAAATAAGTTACACAACGTATGTGAATGTTTTCAATTTCAGCTTCCAGGAATGGATCTGAATTGTCAAATATCTAAAATATAATTTGTAAAAGAGACTTATTATGTACTCTCAAATAACATAATAAAATAAAACTC